CTTCTCATTGAAAGATATTATATAGCATTGTCACTTTAGACTTCTCTTCAGTTTATTACTAATCAACGACAATATAAGAATTGAGAAACACAGTCGCTTGTATATTTCACCATTTCACTTGGTCAGTTTTCTGAATCTTCACCCCACCGTGGCATATTTTCAGCAAGTTTGAATTATCTCAATTTTAGGCAAGAAAATGATTTAATTTGATAAAAGCCATTCAGGTGATCTAGATATATAATATAAAGATCAATGTATATAAATTTATGGAAACCACGAACTGTATTTATACACACACACACACACACACACTCCCTCCTATCCTATTTATGGGACCAAGAAAGAAGATTTTTTAAAAGTATTATTTATAAATCATATCAATAAACTTTTATAATAAATTTTTTCTTTTACCTTGCATTGAATATTAGAGAGAGAAAAAAATATTATTAAAGTATATATATTTATAATAAGGGCAAAGTTAAAATTTTATTAAATTTATGAATATGATTAATATGTTTTAAAATTTTTTTTAGCTTCAATGAAACATATTACAAGCGACTAGAACTAGAAAAATATATACGTCATTACATTTGACTTTATGGATCCATATATGAGGCCCATGATTTATGTAAGATATTCATAAGAGATCAACACTCTGAGGGTTTAGGCCTCATTACATTAACATATGTGTCTTTAATGATCAAACAATTAATATGTAGATGGGAGATCACTTGAAGAAGGAAACATTTGGTGAGCTTAATGAGAAAGCGGGCCGTGATGTTCATCCTCCTCCTCAGGAGTCTCATGCATGAAGGTTCTTCATCAGTAGGACTTAAAATTGCTTCCAAAATCTGAGACCTCAACTTGAGTCTGCCGATCCAAAGTAAACTACATCATTTGGATCCTGAATTGTTATGTGCTTTCGTCTTCGATAATGTACTTGAGTGCAAGGTGAGTTAGTTCATGAATGTAATTTATCGTTGCATATATGTTAGGAATAAGGAAACTTTGAAACTATAGATTGGCATAAAAGCTTAGGGATCAAAGTTCTATAGTTTACTTTGTAAATGATGTAATTTAGGTTGTGCTTTTATAATGTATATATATATATATATTGTGTGTATTATAATATGGCCAGTTAGATAGAGTAGCTATTATCAGCTTTCTATATACTTTCTAGATAAATGGAGATATTGGGTTTATGACGTTGCTTATTTATTTATTTTTTTTTGTCTACTCAATTTTATCTTGTATCTAAACTATTGCAACAAAAAAAAAATTGTTACTAATTTTCAAGTTAAAACAACAGTTTGAAGAAAATATACTCGGCAATCATGATGTTATACGCAATCAATTAATCATACAATTCATTCACCATAAATGTGAGCCATATTTTGGTATTGATAGGATAATTAATGAAATACCATGAGGAAAGAGAATCATACAAAGAAGAAATTTATGTAACTTATTTCATTTTTATATACAGATTTCAATATAATAAATTCTTAATTTTATTAAGGTCCAAACTTTTTTTAAAGTATCAATTTGCTGATACCAACGAGGGTTGGATCTAATAAAAAGAGCTACTTTCTCACAATATGACAAACTAATATTTGAATTTCTATTAAGAGAAATACTTATATTTAGTGTATGACTGTGCCTTTAATAAGAGGATACCTGCAAGCAACAAAAAAAGTATTAATTTGCTCACATCTTGTGAGTTTCAACAAGTTGTAATTTTATGAGTCTTTTTTTATAATTTTTTAATTCTTTTTTGTAATTTTTAATTAATGAATGGTTAAAATTAACTTTATTAACACCATGGTACCTAATGCACTATTTTCAAATGTCAAATAGGGCAAACTTACACCACATGTAAATTTAAAATATCAAACACTTTTAAATGAACAGTTGAGAGGTAAAAATGTCTTTTAACCACAAATTTTATGTCAATGCTAGTTGGTTTTTAATAATCTTCATACTACTTTGTTTTTAAATATAAAGAAAAACCCAACAGAAAACAAAAAATTAACTAAGAGAAATTATGCCAAAAAATGCAATAATGCGAAAAATTGGAAGAAATATAAAAATAATTAAGATTACTTAAAAAAAAAAAGATTAAATAAACAGGTCATACCTTTTACAAAGCTAATTTGTCAACTTCTGAGTTAAAATGGCCAAAGTGCATCTTTAATTCCTAAAATTTATATATGGTTTTTTTTAATTCCTTAATTTTATAAAATAGGGAGAATTTTAATTAAGGAACATGGATTTGACTTAATTACTAGTGGATTCTAAAAAAAAATTTTGAAACTTTAGTTCAGTTCAGGAAGATTAAAATGAAAAAAATTTCAATGATGAAAAGACTAAAATACTATTCATTTGTTATGCAAAATCATCATTTGTTAATTTTTTTTACTTCATTTGTTAATTTATCAATATGAATAGTAAATTATATTCATTTCTCATACAAGCAACAACATCAATTGTAAATTTATTAACTTTACTTATTAATTTATTAACATTAGTTATAAATTACAATACCTATTAGCAATTTATAACTGATATGAGTAAATTAACAAGTAAAGTTAATAATTTAAAACCTGATATTACTGTTTGTGATTAAACTACCAATGTCAAATCTTGTATAATTATTAATATGTCAATTCATATAATTCACAACTTATATTAGTAAATTAACAAGTGAAGCAAGAAAATTAATAACTAATAATTTTGTATAATAAATGAAGGGAAATTATTTTCATTTTGATCCCTTTTAATTGAACTAAAGTTTCAGAGTTTTTTTTATATCCACTAGTAATTAAGTACCATTCATAATCCTTAATTAAAATTCCCCCTATAATCTTTTAACCACATTATCATTAATTTTATTAACAAAAAATTTATATATTGAACTTCAAAATAATGATAAAATAATCTCAAATATTAATATATTAAATTTAATTTTTTGAATAAAAACAATTGCCATAAACATTAACATTTGAAGCTAATAACGTTAAAATTAAAGAACTAAAAAGATACTTTATAAAATTAAAAAATTAAATTAAAATTTTATATAAAATTATAATATTAAATATACATTTTAGCCAATATAAAAGGCATAAAGCAAGAAAATCAGTAAAATTAAGTAATTAATTAACTTCCATAAATTACCTGTTAATTTTTTTGGTAAAATTAATCAAATTGGTTTGTTATAATAACGTGCATGAACAAGGATGAGAAAGAACAATGATAATGGGCACGGATTGATTAGATTACTCTCAAGAACGAAACAGAAAAAAGATCTTTTGGGAAAAGACGACAAAACAAACAATTGACTCAGCATGTGTTTAATTTTTAATTAATCAAAATTTTATTTAATAAAAATTAATTTAATAAAAATTAATTGTTATAAAATTTATATTTAAATATATTTTTTAAAAGTTAATTTGCTACATTAAAAATTATTTGGATTATAATAGTAAGATGTGATTTTAAATGTACAATTGCCAAAAAGGACATTATTTTATGATAATTTATAATTTTTATTATACAAATACAATATATTTAAAATATTTAAAAAATACAATAAATATTTTAAATAATATAAAATTTAATCTATAATATTAAAAATTTGATCTTTAATTATTTTTACGAAGCACTTAGCTCAACTAATAAAAAATTATGTTAACTTAATTAATAATCTTAAATTTAAATTTTAAAAATATAACTTTATTAAATATTCATTGAGAAAGTTTTGCTGAGAATGGGCAAGGAAACTAATGATGATGTTGTATATTTGGAAAAATTAGTAGATAGATTTTGTATACCATATCATGGGTCATCCAACATTATAATAATATTAAATATAATTAAATTTTAATATTAATAATAATAGAGAGGAAAAAATAATAAATATTTTATTATAAAAATAAAATTATTAAACTAATGATTTATAAAATTTTATTTAATTAAATTTATGTAATTTTATTAAATAGATCAGTCCAATAAAAATTAAATGATTTAACAAAATGATGAAAGTAAAAAAGGTATTCGTGTAAAGAGTTGAGGAATAATTAAAAAAAAAACATTGGATCACATAAGAAAAAGTAAAACAGGAGTTTTAACAAACAAGAAAAACAGAAAGAAAATGAAAGAGAGAAATAAATGGGAGTCAGCCTATACCTACGGGTGAAAATAGGACAGAGCCTTAATAAACATCTATAATTTAATCTACTTTAAATCTCACGTAACTTACTTATTAAATAAATTTAAATTAAGTTTAGATTTTTAATTAAATTTATTTAATTAAATAGATTAAGTTTATTTTTTTAAAGTTTAACTTACGAGTTTAATAAGCCGACCTATTTATATATATATATATATGTACTATATCATAAATATATCAGTTTCACTATATGATTTTTAATTAATTTATTTTTTACTACTTCTATTTATTTTCATTCATATTTAATTTATATATTAATTTTAATATTATTATTTTATTATTATATTATATTATAATTAGTAAGTACTTTCAATTCTTATATATTGTAATTGATAAATTAATTTATATATTGTATATTATAATAATTTTAAAATATATTTGAACTGTTTAAAATTAAAATGTTAGCCTATTTAAAAAATTTTACTTTTAAACAAATTTTTAAATAAAAGTCAAACTTTAAATAAGGTTAAATTTAAACCATAAAAATATTTTATTTAAACTTTAGGCAGGTTCATATTTTTAATTTATAACACAAGATCAAATTTATTTAATCAAAACTTAACTTGTCCCAACTTATTTTCATGCCTACCTGTAGCCAATGGACAGGTGACGAAGCAATCTAGCAAAACAAGTCACATTTTTCCAGCAGAGCGGAAATATGTAGGGACGAAGGTGAGGTGAGGGGACACAGTGCTGATCAGTGCACGGAGTCCACAGAATAGCCAGAAGCTAAGACCTAAGACGATAGAAAGTAAAGTGAGAAAGAGAGAGAGAGGAATGAGTGGAGGCGGGGAAGAAGAGACGACATTAGAGCACACTCCCACATGGGTTGTTGCTCTCGTTTGCACTGTCATCGTCGCCGTTTCATTCGCCGCCGAGCGTTTTCTTCATTGTGGCGGAAAGTTCCTCAGGAAGAGAGATCAGAAGCCACTCTATGAAGCTCTTCGGAAAATCAAAGAAGGCTCTGTGCCTCTCTCTCTACTTTTTTCTGTTCTTAATATTAAAATATAGTATCTGTTTTGTTACTCTATCTTTCCCCTCTCCTCCATGAGTGGATGTGCAGAGTTTTTGAAAAATTTTGGAAGGTATTTTATTTATTTATGTATTGCTGTGTTCGTTTTTCAGAGTTGATGCTGTTGGGTTTTATATCGCTGCTTCTGACGGTTACACAGAATGGGATTACCGAAATCAACGTGCCGGCTGGTTTGACCCGCCACATGCTTCCTTGTAACCCGGATAGAGGAGAAGGCGAAGAATGTAACATTACACATTCCTCAGTTCTCATTGGTGGGCTTTCAATTTCTTCTTTGATAGATCACTTTCTTTCAAGCTTGCCCATCAATTGCTATTATGCTTGGGACAGTGTCATTTTATCCTATGTCCATCCACAATTTGATGTAAATTTTACCATTTTATTGTTACTTGCTTGGACGCGGAATCTGAGTCATGATTGATCGGTACCGATTAAGCTGTAGCATTCGACGGCATTTAATTTTTGGATGAAGATGAGATGAAAGAGGACAGCATTCTGGGACAATAATTAAAGAAATCACGTGCTCAAGACATAGTTCATCAATCTGTCACTGTCACTGCCACTGCCACTGCCAAAGCAGAATTTTACTCTTTATGTTTTTCTTTGGGTCTCCTTTCAGTTTATAACCTTTATTTAGGATTGAGCACTGGGATCTCCTTGTTGGCTGTGAATATGCACTTCAGACACTATCGTTATCACATTAGTTATCGAGCTTCTCGCACTTAGGATCTAACCTTGTCAATTATTTATGCCATGAATTTTCCTTTTTAATTTCTTGAACTATGATCACATAACCTCCTTTCTTTTCTTTTCAGAACAAGGTTCCGTTATTATCTGTGGAAGCCATTCACCACCTGCGTATCTTTATATTTGTTCTAGCTTTAGTCCACGTAACCTATTGTGTTCTGGCTGTTTTCTTCGGAGGATTGAAAGTGAGTGTCTTTTTGACAATTATGTTATGAACTATTCATGCTCATAATTTCTTTCTTTATTAATAATTCATCTGTTGTATAGATACGTCAGTGGAAGCACTGGGAGGATTCAGTTGCTAAAGACAACTACGAAGCACAGAAAGGTAAGTGGTTTGATCGGCAGTTATAGTGTATGGTATGTGTTCACTCATTTTAATCAATCTGTAGACTCTTTGATAGATGTTTTTCAATTCAGCAATTATAGTATATGGTATGTGCTCACTTATTTTAATCAATCTGTAGACTCTTTGATAGGTGTTTTTCAAGTCATCATGATGCTACTTTATAAATATTATCCCCTTGTTTTTTTTTGAACCATGAGTCCACTGAAAAGAAGTGATTTAACAAGTTAGATGATCTATTTAACTTCTATAATAGCTGTCTTTTTGAGTATTTTTCTTCTCCATTGCTCCTTACATGAAAATTGGATTGCTGCGGTTCTGGAACCAAAGATCACTCATGTTCACCAGCATGATTTTATTAAGGGTCGTTTTCTGGGTTTCGGTAAAGACTCTGCCCTGATGGGTTGGTTGGTAAGTTTTTCATAAGCTAATCAGGATCTGAAACCTAGAATTGATGATGACATATTCATATCACTCATGCTAAAACTACTCCTGAACCCCTTATTTGAAGATTTAGGCATGTTCTATATAGTGCATGCTGACACATAATCTATGTTTCTTCAGTATTTTCTTGCTTTTCCTTGTCCAATAAAGCTTAATGTTGAGCCATTTCTGCTGAGTCTTTGTCCTTCTTGTGTCCACCTTAGTTGATATCACAAGGGACCATGACCTTCTAAAGGAGTGGAATCAGAATGTGGTATAAAATGTGTTAATTGTGTCAATTCAAAGAATACAAGTCAATTCACAAAACCACATGTTAATTGTGTCACATAAATTAAGCTTCCATTACAAAGCATGAATAAAACGTAAAATGAAAAGAAAAATAAATTACTTGGACTTGGAATCAGGCACGACAAATTTAGACACGTGTTCAGTTCCAGTGAGAGCCGTCCTGCACCTCAACACTTGATCTTTAGTGGGTGAAATTCTTTGTACGAGACTTCGCTTTTCCAAAATTAGATTTTTGATCACGAACATCTAATGGATCCACGCCATAGAATTTGGTCATATCTACTTGAATGTACCCTACTTTGTGAAAGTACATGATTTTTGCGAGTTCCTCGAGGCACCTTCTGGAACTGGCATAGTGTTCAGAGAAGATGATGATTGAAAATCCAGAACCTTCAATCATGCTTTGCAGCGGTTCAATTGAGATTTCATTTTCACTATTAAGCTTATCAGTATCGTCTTCGACAACGAAAATTCCAGCATTCCTTAGAGATGGATAGAGACAGGAAGGGAAAGATTCTTGGGTGTCTTCACCTCTCGTGAAACTCATGAACACTTGTTCATGTTTATTGCCTAAACCTTCAATTACACAAACACATCAAAAAGAACTGCACAGGTTAATATTTGTCATTTAAAGACGCATTCACATAGCATTTTCTCTCTATATATGCTGCAAAATTCAATTTTTTATCCCCTTTTAGCCAAATCCTGATTTTTCTTTTATTTTTTTTCCTTCAAGGACCTTGGTCTTTAAAATTGATAGAATTCGTGATTCTTTACTGTAATTAAAGATAAAGTTAAAAACTATTTTTTTCCATGATTTTTTTTTCCAAAGAGCCTTGAGCACCCTCTGATGACTGGGGGTAATGTTCCTTTAAACTATTTTTTTGAGGAACAATTTTGTCCTTCCATTAAAGAAACTATCAATTTGAATGTGAACAGCCTAGGTGGATTATGTGTGAGCCTCATTAACCATTTGACCAGGGTTACTATTATTATTATAGGATTAAAGTATTAATTTACCTTTGAACTCTTTTTTCAAAAGTATTGGCCATCTTAAAGTTTTGTTAAAAATAAAATTTATAAATATTTATTTTAATAAAATCTTTTAAAATATTTCATAATTTTAATATTATTATTTATAAATATTCATCCAAAATTTATAAATTATTTTTTAAATATAATAGCTCATAAGAAGGAATGACACTTAAGAATTATTCAAGATAAAATCCCAAGAAATTTTAAAATGCAAAGCAAGTCCCTTAAGTCTTTAATTGGTATTTTTACATGATGCAATATATTTTGAATTTTAAAATTTAAAAAATGAGTTTCAAATTTAATAAGATAATGTTAATTTTATTTGTTAATTTAGGGGTTCATTTTCCTCATTTTCAATATAAAGTTGTAAAGTATTAAAATATTAAATATATGTAGTGCAATTTTTTGGAAAAGGATTGTTAATTAGAAAAAATTATAGATAATGACTTAGAAAATTTAATGGACTAAATCAATACTCCCTTTATCTCAATTATAAGATACATTGATGAAATTTATCGTCTTAAAATATAAGACATTTTGAGAGGATTAAAGTTTCATTAAATAGGCTTATTACAATATTACCATTTTTATCTCTCTATTTAATACTAACTAAGTGCAAATTTAAGGTTATTTAATGAAAAGTATTTTTGAAAGTTTATATTTTTGTTTTTTAAAAAATAAAGTTAAGTGTATTTAATAAGGTTTATTGATATATGAGATTTTATTTAAAAATATCTTATAATTTAGGATAGAGGGAGTATTAATCCTGTTATAAGGTCTTTTTCTATAATTTAGTTGTAAATAACAACAACAACAACATTATTATTATTATTTTTATTTACAAATCTTTGAACACAATTTATAAATTATTTATGAATTTTTGAAAAAACTAGTTTCAAGTTTCAACTAGGGTTGATGTGTTATTTTATCTTTAAACTATTCTCAGAGAGGCAGTGTTATTTTCAAACTACTCGTTGTAGCAATGTTGTCTCTCAACTAATTAAATTGGGTAATGTTGCCCTGTCATTTAAATATCTATACTGTTATTAGTGAGACTCATTTTTCATAAGTTAAGGTGTAATTTTGCCTTTAAATTTTTCTCAGAGGAGCAATGTTGCACTCATTATTTAAAAATTATAAAATTAAATAAAAATAAAATTATAATAATATTAAATAAAAATAATATTAAATATATATAAATATAAAATTATAATAATATTAAATAAAGATAATATTAAATGTATATATAAAATAAATTACAATATTAAATTACGATTTTTAAATGTTAAGGGTAATATTGTTCTTTTAAGAATAGTTTAAAGATAAAATTGCACTTTAACTCATAAAAAGTAGGTCTCACTAATTGCAATAACAGATGTTTAAATGACAGGGTCAACATTGATCAGATTTAATTAGTCCAGAGGTAATATTGCTCCTCTAAGAATAGTTTAGGAGTAAAATTGTATCTTAATCCTTCCAACTAATAATATTTAAAAAAATTTATAAATTTTGGATGAATACTTATAAATAATAATATTTCAATTGTTGAGTAATATTTAATATTTTTAACAAGAGTCATTAAAAATAAATATTAAATTTTATTTTAACAAGATTTTAAAGTACTTATCACTCCTATAAAAAGAATTTAAGAACAGATTAGCATTTTAATCCTATAATAATAAGCTAGATCAGATGACCAATGTAGCCCATATGTAATTAATGTAGGAAAATCATGATGAAATTGATTGTTCTTTAACAAAAGAATAAAATTGCTCCTTTAAAAAATAGTTTAGGGAGACATTAAAGAAATCAGTACAAGGTAACCCTTGCTCTTAAAAAAAATTAGGGTAAAATTGGTCTTTAACCATTAAAAATATTACAAGATAAACCATTTTCAAAATCAACAATTAAAATATTATTTTTATTTTTGAAAAAATAAAGAATTAAGTGAAAAGAAATTTGAAGCATGCAAACTTTTAAAATGGAGTAGATTTTAGGTGAGTACATTTAGATTCTAACTATACCTCAAACATGATTATCTCTATTAAAGTTAAAAGTATACTTAAAATCAATAAAAAAAATTACATATAGGTTCCGTGAAACAGACTTACTTATAAATAAGTCTTGTGAAATTTAAAAATATAGTTAGGTCCCATAAGACTTGAATGTAATTTAAAATTAAAGTGTAAAGATAATAATGCTCCTATTAAAAATACATTATATCGATCAAATAATATAAGTTATAATTATTTGATTGGTAATTTATAACTATCATTTCAACTTTTTATAATTTTAACTTTACATATTCAATAGTTAAATTGATCATGTGTTACAAGTTTAATACTAATTATATACAACTACCTCATCAATATTTTACAACTATTATTTAATATTTTATAACTATAACTCATTTATTTGATAGTCAATGCGTTACTAATAAAGTTTAATAATAATTGCTTATAACTACTTCATTAATAATTTACAACTATTACTTCAATATTTCATGACTGTAATTTCATATTTCTAATAATTAAACTGATCATACATTACTAATTGTAAAAGAAATATTGTCTTTACACCCTAATTTTAAATTACACTCATGTCTCAAGGATCTAGTTGTGATTTTTAAATTTTATGGGATTTATTTATAAGTAAGTCTATTCTATGAGACCTATATAATTTTTCCTTAAAAAAAATATCTTGGCACCGAACGTAAAAGATAAACGGTTACCCTGGTTGTTCAAGTGCCAAGTGTTCCTTCCACACTTGTCTGAGGCTGCTACGTTTTAAGTCAATAGCAGCTAGATTTTCTTGATAAAATTTGCTAGGAATGTATTTCACAAGAAAGCCATGCCAACAAAGCCATTTGAGATCTCTACTAATATATCATAGTCTCCTCTTACCTGTACATTGTCAAGACAAAGTAATCGGAGTCTCTTCATCTTCTTAAATGCTTCTTTCTGAAAATGCAATTTTTCAGTTTGTGAAAAAAACTTCAAAGAGGTCCGCAGGAGATATCAGTAAAAAGAGTGGAACATATAACTTTGAATTCTGTTAAGAGGGGTGGATGAAGGCTTAAAAGAATACTCTTAGAAGTTGTTAAACGCGATCTCTTAATTAATAATATTTCTAAAAGCTTGATAAATGATAGAGCACAATAACATCTTGCAATTCATATAGCCGACCTCACCTAGTGGAATAAAGGTTTATTGTTGTTGTTGACAAAAACTTCAAAGCCAGCCCTTCAATACCACTTTTGTTCCCTGCAAAATAAAAGCTCATCAAAATTGAAGTGTGCACTTGTGCTGTACAGTTTGTGGAAAAGAAAAATGGAAACATGTCATAATCAAGCTTCTAGAGAATGAGACAATACAAAATGAGTTTTAAAATACATATAGAAATTAAGAGCCGAAACCATAAGGTTTCTATATACATGACTAGTTTATTGATGCTCATGTTCCCTTTCTGCAGTACATGTACTTCTACAGTACCATAAGGCTAACATGTTAACATGCATGAAACAATAAATATAGGATATAGAAGTTCCTACTGTGTGTTTTAATAATATATCAAGTGCATCCTCATGAGATCATAACCTACTTCTCTTCCCAAGCTCATTTCGAGATCTTCTATGAATTGTTTCTCTTCCCATGTTCGCAGCAAGTCATGCATACCAAGCCTATTCTTCTCATCAATGGTCACAAGGCTTCGCTCCACAAGGGTTTTGATTCCAAGGTTGGCCAAAAACCCACAGCCATTTAATATCTGTGTGACATCACTTCTGTCCACCCTAATAAAGAAGCAAGATATATCAAGAAATATTTCTTTCTCCCAATGATCACTTGACCGTCAAAGCTTATTTTAAACTTCTTTTGTATCTTGTTATGGGGAATTTTTTTTAAGTTTCTTCAATACGGTCTTCCTTTCCTCCACTTTTGCATCATATAAATAGGAGCCAAGGACTTAAGAGCTAATGGAATTCCCCCTAAAATATGCAACTGTGTTTCTTGAAAGTTCGATGAAATCTTCTTTAGGACTTTCTTGTTTAAATGCATGCCAACTAAAAGATACAAGAGATTCCCTTTCATCCAAATTCTTCATTCTATACACACGACAGCCCATTTTACGCAGTTAACTCATTTGTAGTTGTGATGATTATTTTACTTCTTGGATGAAACTTGTCAAGACTTCCAGCTAAAGCTTTCAGTTGGCTCAACTTGTCCACATCATCAAGTACAATTTGTGCCTTTTTATGGGGAAGTCTATCGCTAAATGTGATTTTTCCTGAATCAATGCTATTTATCTTCATATTTGTTGTTTTGCAAATTTTACAAGGAAGTTGGTTTTGTAAATGCTCTTGGCCATTTTCATGATTCCAAACTTTTCCGATCTTTCAAAGGTAACTTCTACTCTCAAACGACCAATTTCATTATAAATGGCTTTGGTAATAGTTAATTTGCCTATGTCCCCCATTCCCCATATCCCTACCACGATAACTTCTTCAGATTGATGGTTTTGAAGCATTGTGATTACTTCTTGCACTTTATCTTCCACTCCTACTGGGTGGTCTACCACGAACGGGTCTTTCTTGTCTAGTATCTCACAAACATTCTTAACAATCTTGTTGACGTCTTCACTCTCGTTGCTGTCGATCGATCATATAAAAATGATAAGAATGAGCATTGGATATATAAACACAATTACAAATGAAGAAAGTCAAGATTTTGAAAGGTACATGTGTTTAGACAAGACGAGATATTATGAACAAACTATTGATCAAAAAGCGAGAGGACCTAGCCAGTGGCGGCTATAACAAGTGAAAATATATTAAAACACTCATTATTCAACTGCAAAACAAACATTCAGTTGACTTGAGCACATTACTTTATATATAATCAATATCACTTACTTGTAGGATTTAGAATGAGGAAGGGAATTAAGGAGAGAAGATAATGGAGGGGGAGACGAACAGAATCCAGGGCAAACATGAGAGAAGTCTTTTTAAACTTGTAATTTCAAGAGGTAAAAAGTAATAATAAAGAGTACAAACAAGAGGTAAAAAGTAATAATCCTCAGAAAAAAATATTACAAACACAAGAATGATATTTGATTAGTTATACGTTCACTATGATTTGTGCATGTTTAAATGATCATTCCTTTCTTTCCATATTCTTGAACCAGCCCTTTTATCTCGTGTATGAAATTGCTTGTAACATATGTCCAATAGAGATTAAGGTCATGTCAATATATGTGCAAACTATTGAATATGTAAATAAGAAAAATCTCATATGTTTTTGTTAAGATTATTTATGTTGCACTAAATATAATTAATTTATGCACATTAGTAATAATTAATTGTAGCTTTGATAAAATATTTAAGGATATTGCAAGCAGAACAATACATACACTGGATTATAATTGTGCGAACTTTACCTCATGTAACTTTTGGAACTGAAAATTTAAAACTACAAAAGTAGAATTTTAAAGATCTAATTGAAATTCTGCCCCGTAGTGAACAAGCAAAATTGAGTCATGTTCCAAATAATGAGGCAAGTCATATCTATTCCGAATAATTAAAAACAAATAAAAAGCGAAAAAGTACTTAGAACCAACTATAATATGACATCAAAAAATTAATTTTGACTGTTAGTTAATCAAAAAATGATTGAAAATAACTTCAAAAATTACATATAATGACCTAAAAATTACAGATAAAGATCTAAAAAATTACAAACAAGGGTCAAGAAAGTTTATTGGTCCTTTTTTGTTTAAATTTTTGATGTCTTTTGTTATCATTTTTTGGTTAACTAAATTTCAGAATTAACTATTATTAATGGTAAGGTCAAATTATACTGTTTTCAAAAGTTAAAAGGCAATATTCTATCAAAACTAAATTTAGAATCCCAGACGTTCTTAAACTTATAGTTTAGAGATTCATTTGCTCTTTTACCTTTAATTTTATTATCTTGACACCTTCATAGAATTTAAATCATACAAGTCAATTCACAAAATCAGAATGTGGTATAAAATATGTTAATTGTGTCAATTCAAAGAATACAAGTCAATTCACAAAATCACATGTTAATTGTGTCACATAAATTAAGCTTCCATTACAAAGCATGAATAAAACGTAAAATGAAAAGAAAAATAAATTACTTGGACTTGGAATTAGGGACAACAAATCTAGCCGTGTATTCAGTTTCACTGAAAGCCGTCCTCCACCTCAACACTTGATCTTTAGTGGGTGAAATTCTTTGTATAAGACTTTGAAAAGCTTGTCCAAAATTAGGTGTTTGATCACGAGCATATAATAAATCCACACCATAGAATATGGTCATAACTACCTGAATGTACCCTACTTTTTGAAGATACATGATTTTTACGAGTTCCTCGAGGCACCTTCTGGAACTCGCGTAATGTTCAGAGAAGATGATGATTGAAAATCCAGAACCTTCCATCATGCTTCGTAGCAGTTCAATTGAGATTTCATTTTCACTGTTAAGCTCATCGGCATCATCTTTGATAACGGAAATTCCAGCATTCCTTGTAGATGAATACAGACAGGAAGGGAAAGATTCTTGAGTGTCTTCACCTCTCGAGAAACTCATGAACACTAGTTCATGTTTATTGCCTAAACCTTCAATTACACAAACACATCAAAAGGATCTGTACAGGTTAATATTTATTATTGAAAGACGCATTCACATAGCATTTTCTCTCTATAGTTACTACAAAATTCATTTTTTTAATCCCCTTTTGGCCAAATCCTGAATTTTCTTTCTTTTTTTTTTTTTCCCTTCAAGGGCCTTGGTCTTTAAAATTGATAGAATTCGTGATTCTTTGCTGTAATTAAAGATAAAGTTAAAAACCATTTTTCACATGAATTTTTTTTTCCAAAGAGCACTGAGCACCCTCTAATAAGTGGGATAATGTTCCTTTAAACTATTAACAATTTCATCCTTCCATTAAAGAACTATCAATTTCACCGTGACCTGTTTATGTGGATTATGTGTGAGCCCTATTAACTATCTAACTAGGCTTATCATTATTATTATTGTAGGGTTAAAGTACTAATTTGTTTTCAAACTCTTTTTTTTTAAGTGGTGGGCACCCTAAAGTCTTATTAGAATAAAATTTAATAAATATTTATTTTAATAAAATATTTTAAAATATTTAATAATTTAAATATTATTATTTATAAATATTCATCCAAAATTTATAAATTATTTTTAAATATAATAGCTCATAAGAAGGAGTAACCCTTGAGAATTATTCAAGATAAAATCTCAATAAATTTTAAAATGCAAAGCAAGTCCTCTAAGTCTTTAATTGGTATTTTTATATAATACAATATATTCTCAATTTTAAAATTAGAAAAAACAAGATACAAATTCAACAAGATAATATTAATTTTATCTGTTAATTTGAAGGTTCATTTCTTCCGTTTTCAACATAAAGTTGCAAAGTATCAAAATGTTAAAATAGGTGGTTCAATATTTTGAAAGAAGAATGTTAATTAAACAAAATTAGATAATGAGCTAGACAATTTAAGGGATTTAATCAATATTTCCCCTATCCCAATTATAAAACACTTTTGAAGAAGATTTGTCATCCCAAAGTATAAAACACTTTGAGAAAGATTAAGGTTTTATTAAATAGGTTTATTCTAATATCATCCTTTTTCTCTCTCTATTTAATATTGACTAAGTGTAATTTTAAGGTTATTAAATGAAGGGTATTTTTGAAAGTTTATATTTTTGTGTTGAAAAAATAAAGTTATTAATTATATTTAACAAGGTTTATTGATATGTAAATTTTATCTAAAAATATCTTATAATTTGAGAATGAGGGAGTATTAGTTTTGTTATAAGGTCCTTTTCTGTAACGTAGTTGTAAATGTAAATAATAATAATAATAATAATAAAATGATACAAAGATGTTATTAATAAAACGAGAGGGGTATAATTGTATGCTTACAGTGGAAGGATAGATGGAGTACAAAGAGGAGAAGCAAGAAATATTACAAGTGAAGAGAAAGAGGAAAGAGATGGCAAAAGAACTAGAAGCCTACAAACTAAGATGAGATTGGAATTTATAAAGGTATTTTGAACCCTTAGTTAATAGACTATCCGATTATTTACATTGATTGGGTTACTTCTTAACTTTACCCGTGAGTTTGCTTTATCTTTAACAATCCATAATTGTAGTACCTGTTTCTTTTCTTTTTCCTTTTGTCTTTTTTCTTTCTTTTCAACACACACCAAATTTCTCTTATTCTCTTTCCACTTTAGCTTTCTACTTTCGGCTTGTCCTATCTTGCAATCTCTTTTGCTTTCTGCTTTTGGCTCAGCATCCTATTGATGCTATTTCTTTTTATGAGTGACCAGTTGAAAATCTTCAAAATTTGCTCCATATATGTCTTCTTCAATATTTATCTCTTCTTTCGTGTCATGTCTTTGAGTGGATGATCCTATATCTGATGGCAGTTATGAAGCTGCATCATTGATGAGAGAGGCCTATTCTTCTTTTGTTTTTGTTGCTGCCAATTGTGCCATTAGTTTTCTTTTCTCTACATGAAATGATGTTGATTCTTCAGCCTTTTGCTTTACTTCTTGTGTCATTCTTTTTAATAGTCCTTGAATTTTTCTTATGATAGCTTTTTTTCCCACAAAAGTCTGGATGTATTTATCCCACTTCTGATAAGGTAAAATATGGAAGGACATGGTTGACTTTGGTCCATTACGGAGAAGCACCAGCTCATGAACCATGGTACCCTCATATAATAGAAAAATCAGAAGGGTCTTTTTGTTTCCTTGAAATTTGTATTTTCTCTAAAATGATTATAACCTTCTTTAATAATTTCTGGTAATATTTTCTTAACTAGTCCAAAAATATGAAACCATTTTAGAAAAGTGTTTGGACACTTCTGGTCGAACTAAAAAAACCAAGAGTGATTATAATTTTTATAATACAAAACATTGAACTGGGCTTCTTTATAATCAAAAATAATTATAAACTTGATCCTTGTAATTTTTAGGGAAATTTTTTACTATATAAGGAGAATACCCCCAAGTGGTGAGAGTAAGGACCTGTAGGATCTTTATTTGGCTGTAGGGATGTCCTTTAGATTCCTTATGAGTTATGCTAATGGAATTAGTTGCCACTAGAATATACTCATAATAAAGTCTGTCTTTTTTGATACTTTAAGGAATGAAATTCCAAATATCTTCTATATAGGATGAGGAGGGAATATGGCTTGGATAGTATCTACTATTGTTGGCTTTTTGGATTTGGGTTCAACTGGACAAATTATCATGATGAACTCTTTTGGGATATATTGGCTAAACTCTGTCTTTTTTAGAGTAATGTCTTTTGAGGTAGTGTGTTTTGCTTTTGAAGTAACTGCTTGATCATATGTCTGTGGTTTAGAAGATTTACCTGATACATAATTTTCTATTTTCATGGGACGATCTGGCTTTTGAGGTGTATTTGGCTATATTGTGGCTTTACCCTTTCCTTTGTCCTTTTTACTCATCTTTAACTTTTCCTTATAAAAATTCTCTTGTTAAAAAATCAGGTAAAGAATTTTCTTTTCCTTTTATAAATTGTATTTCAAAATCAAAACAAGATAAAATAGCTTGTCATTTGGCAAAAATTGGTTTTGATACGAGATTTTTAATATCTTTTTGTAAAACATCTTTTGCTGCCTTGCAATATACTTTTATTAAAAAATTTTGATTTATTAAGTCATGGAATTTTGAAAATTTTGATTTATTAAGTCATGGAATTTTGAAACACATAAAACAATTAATAAAATCTCTTTTTGATGGTAAAGTATTATTGTTGAGCTTTGGACCACGCTCCTGAATGGAATTTTATTATTTTCTCATTATCTCCTTGCAACTGTTTTAAGATTCCTCAATACCCTATTTCTGACACATCTGTTTCTACTATCTTAAAAGCTGTGGGGTTAGCTATTCCTAGATACGGAAGACTTTTGACTTGAGTTTTTATTTCTTGAATAATTTTTGTCATTTTATCTAACCATTCAGGCGAATTCTTTTGAAGTCTTTTAAAAAATAAATATATTCTTGTCCTGACGTTGAGTGAAAAGTCTGCCACATAATTGAGACATTCTAAAAATTTCTATAATTGATTTTTGTCTATAATCTTATCTAAAAATTTTTCTGCAAACTCTATGACTCTACTAGTAGGCTTAAGACTTCCTTGATAAATTTCCATACCAAGGAATTTGACTTTTGTTTGAAATAGTTTCATTTTTCTAGCTAAAACAACTAAACCATTATTTTTTATAGTTTCAAGATATTGATTTAGATGCTTAAAGTGTTCTTCAATTGAATTGGAGAAAACTAAAACATCATCAATGTATACAATGGTGAATTTACAAAAGGAATTGAATATATCATTCATTATTTGCTGAAATTCTGAAGGAGCATTTTTTTAATCCAAATGGCATTACATTCCATTTGTAATGACCAAAAGGAACCGTAAAAGCAATTTTATATCTATCTTTTTGCATTATTTGTATTTGATAATATTCAGATTTCATATCAAATTTTGAAAATATTGAAACATTAGATAATCTTCCTAATAAATCTTTTTTTATTAGGAATTGGATATCTAATCCATTTCAATATTTTATTTAAAGGTTTATAGTTTATAACTAATCTTGGAGCTCCTCTTTCTATTTCTACAGAGTTTTGTACATGGAAAATAGAACAACTCCATGGTGATTTACTTAGTCTTAATTAATTACAAAAATTTTCAGATAAGATTATAGACAAAAATTAATTACAGAGATTTTTAGAATGTTTTAATTATGTGACAGACTTTTTACCCAACGTTAGGACAAGAATATCTTTACTTTTTAAAAAACTTCAAAAGAAAAATTATTCAAGAAATAAAAACTCAAGTTAAAAGTCTACTAATTCCATTAGCATAACTCATAAAAAATCTGAAGGAAATCCCTACAGCCAAATAAAGATCCTATAGGTCCTTACTCCTACCACTTGGGGGTATTCCCTTTATACAACAAAAAATTTTCTTGAAAATTATAAAGATCAAGCTTATAATTATTTTGATTATAAAGAAGCCTAGTTCAATGTTTTGTATTATAAAAATTATAATCACTCCTAGTTTTTCTGGTTCGACCAGAAGTGTCCAAACACTTTTTTAAAATGGTTCCATATTTTTGAATTAGTTAAGAAAATATTATCAGAAATTATTAAAGAAGGTTATAATCATTTCAGAGAAAATATAAATTTCAAGGAAATAGAAAAACCCTTCTGGTTTTTCTATTATATGAGGGTACCATGGTTCATGAGCTGGTGCTTCTCCATAATAGACCAAAGACAACCATGTCCTTCCATATTTTACTTTGTCAGAAGTGGGATAAATACATCCAGACTTTTGCAGGAAAAGAAGCAGTCATAAGAAAAATTCAAGGACTATTAAATAGAGTGACACAAGTAAAGCAAAAGGCTGAAGAATCAACATCATTCCATGCAAAGAAAAGCAAACTAATGGCACAACTGACAGCAGCAAAAACAAAAGAAGAATGGGCCTTTCTCATCAATGATGTAGCTTCACAAGTGGCATCAGACGTAGGGTCATCCACTCAAAGACATGACACGGAAGAAGAGACAAATATTGAAGAAGAATATATGGAGCAGATTTTGAAGATTTTCAACTGGTCACTCATAAAAAGAAATAGCAATCAATAGGACGCTGAGTCAAAAGCAGAAAGCAAAAGAGATTGCAAGATAACAAGCAAAAAGTAGAAAGCTGAAGTGGAAAAAGAATAGGAGAAATTTAGTGTGTGTTGAAAAGAAAGAAAAAAGACAAAAGGAAAAAAAAGAAAGAAACAGTTAGTACAATTATTTACAACTTTAATTTTACATATTCAATAGTTAAACTAATTATATGTTACAAGTTTACTACTAATTATATACAATCACCCCATCAATAATTTACAACTATCACTTTAATATTTTACAACTATATAAAGTTTAACAATAATTAATTACAATTACTTCATTAGTAATTTACAACTATTACTTCAATATTTTATAACTATAACTTTATATGTTTAATAATTAAACTAATCACAACATTACTAATTGCAAAAGAAGTATTGTCTTTACACTTTGATTTTAAATTCAAATTACATTAAAGTTTTAAGAACTTGATTGTGGTTTTTAAATTTAACATGGTTTATTTGTACATAAATATATTCCATGTACCTATATAATTTTCCCTTAAAAAAATATCCAGGCACCGAAGGTAAAAGGATAAACGGTTACCTTGGTTGTTCATAGGCTCGTTCACCAGATCCATGGAATCTTCCCTCCGTGTCCGCTTGAAAGATATTGGACTGTTGGAACGTTCAATGGTTTTTCTGAGGAGGAGGAGGAGAATCCGATAAAAGCAGAGCATCTAGCAAATCAAGATACAAGATCTATAAATGAAACGAAGATATGGAGGGGAAAAAAGGAAATACAGAAACAAAAAAAAAAAAAAGAAAAAAGAAAAAAAGTGCAGATCGTGCGGAAAGTTACCTGAGAATTGCTTGGTTGGTGAAAGAGACACGATCACGAATCTAGTTTATGATAAAGATCAGACAAGAGAAAGAGATTTATATGTGAGGCTCTTGGCTGCTTCTATATACTGATCACGAAGGTCTATAGTGAAATAAAAGTACGGCAACCAGCTCCAGGAATGTGAATGGAAGAAATTAAACATCAATATTCTTCTTCACATCGACTCAGAAAGTACCTATCAGAACAGAAATTTATTCATAATAATTGAACAAAACAGAGAGATTATGACGCAGTGAGGCTACAAAGAAGGTAGCTACCAGGAAAGTGAAGGGAAACCAAGCTGTGGAAAAAGGAGGGAAAGCGATCTAATGCAGACGACAAATATTCCAACTAATGAAGTATCTTTATTTTTTTTAAGAAACAAAAAAAATCTATGCAAGTTTGGTGCACGATTTTTACAAAAAGGAACCGACAAAAAAAAAAACAGCTTGGGGCACGAGAAAGTGGTGATGAATCGTTTAAATAAAACTATAAAAGCAAGCATTTTTTTTTATTTTAACTTAAACCACTTTTATCCCATCTCTGCTCTACATTTTTATTAAAAAAAAAATAGACGAATTAAATTCAAGAACGAGGCATGCCTCCCAACCTAAGTAAAATTTTATGGATTGAAGATAGTAACACACCACTGGTGAAGTTATTATGAAATATAAAATTCATAATAAGTGGTATTATTCTAGTACTTTGTAAATGATAAATTTATTTTTAGTTTTATAAAAAGAGATAATTAAAAATTATGTTTATTTTGGATAATACATCTATTAGAATAAAAGTTATTTAAAATATAAATATAATATAATATCCACACCAATTTTCTTTTTTAAAAATATAATTAGGAAAGTTGAATTAATCTAAACCCACCGTTCACTTTGAAGCCAGCCAATTCACGCCAATTCTTGGTTTCCCTATGATATTGAGCCTAACTTGGTCTGATTGAGACCCATCTCTAACTTTTCTCCTGTATGCTTTCACAACCTTTTAGGGTCTCACAAATTGAACGCACTATTTGTTCATCAAATGAGTCACAAATAGATTTAGAATTAGAAAAATAGGCTGGACCGACCCTTGACAGGGTCGAGCCTAAAAGGGTTAACCTGTTTAAGCTTGAGTTTTCTTTAAGAGGCTTAATATTGAAGCCCAGCCCTAAGCATAATGGGCTTAAGGCCGGCCTTACGGGCTTCAGGCCCTTTTGCTTTTTTTTTTTTTTCATTTTTTTTCAAATTGACATTGGTTCAATCTTTTCACTATAATATAAAATCTTGCTCCAATATCAAATCACATAAGTTAAACAACAATAAGCAATAAACAAACTAACCAACCACAATAAGCAAGTTGCAATAAGCTCAACACCAAGTAGCAATAACCAAACAAACAAAATAACATCTAAATGAGCTAGATGTTAGAAACACAATCCAAATGAAAATGATAGCATGCAATGAAGCCAAGATCAGCTGAATTTATCTAGTATCCACCACCAAAAACCACAATCTCATAAAAATCTTTAAATCAATACACATAAATACTCAATAACTCAAACATTGGTAGCGTCATCATTATCTTCTTCTTCTTCTTCACTATCATCAAGCTCAACAAAATTCAATTGTGATCCACTAATAGCTGGTTCATCAGGGGCAAAAATATCAAGATTTTCTTCTTCTTCTTCTTCACCTTCATTATCTGCAACAAATAATAAACAAAAGTACTTACACAATTATAGTTATTATTTATTATGTTGTTTGCATGGCAAAAAAATAAAATAACTATAAATTAAAATTATCATTGTACACAAAAACATGTAACCAATTATGAACAAAAATGATAGCCTGAACATTAGCTAAAAGAATGGAACTTCGGTACTTTGTTAGGATGCGTGAACCGATGCTAAAAGCCGATTTACTAGCTACTGTAGTGATCAGAATACTAAGAATATCAGCTATCATCCTTGAAAGAATTGGATATCGATGTTGATTATTCTTCCACTAGTTCAAGACATCCAATTCTTTCCAACTATCAGGCTTAAGTATTGGTTCCTTCAAATGATTTTCAAATTCAGACTTATTCAAAGAAGAATGATTCATAATTGCATAAATATCTTGATAATCACGCATAATGTATTTATAAAGAATTAGAAAATATCAAATAAAGACTAGATTAGTGAAAAAAGTGAAACAATTTAAAAAGATAAGGAATTTAAAATTTACATCAAATGCATCATCAAAAAAGGTTGATGTTGAAACGCTTGAAGCCAAGGAAGAATGACAAGTAGTAACTGTTGAAGCTCTACAACTTGATCCACTTATAGCCCTACCAACTCCAAAATTGGTAGATGTCCCCATACTTGAATATTCATTAAATATGAATATTAACTGGCTCTTAATATTAGCAACATTCTCATGGCAAGTGATAGGGTCAATCTTTGTATAGTAATATTGAATTATATTAAACTTCTATTTTGGATCAAAAATTATTGCAAGGGCAAGAATGACACTGTACTCATTCCAATACTTGTCAAACTTCTGTTTCATTTTCCTAGCCATCTCTTGAATCACAGGATTGGGGCTCTTCATATTTACATCAAGCGACATCTCAATTTTGAAAATTTGCATAAAAAAATTAACATTGTAATCTTCTCAAATGGCCTCAAGAAGGTGCACATTGCATCAGCTCTAGCCCACTCATCATGTGTGAGATGAAACTTGTAATTTGTATCATTTACAGCCATGTGTGCAAAAGCACAACAATATTTAATCTCACTCTCAAGCATCGTGTAAGTGGAGTTCCATCTAGTGGGCACATCTAACTGTAAGCCCATTAAGGTGTCAATGCTACCAACTTGCTCAACACATTGTTTAAAAAGAATCGACCTTGTCTCTAATGCTTTCATAAATTTAATACTTTCTCTAATCTTATGCAAAGCAGAACTTGTAACTTTCAAGCCCTCCCAAACTATCAAGTTTAGGATATGAGCACAACACTTCACAAGAAAAAATTCTCCATTACTTACTAATTTGAAATCATCTTGAAAACTTAACCTCTCTTTTAATATGTCTTGCATATTATCATTTGCAGATGCATTGTCTAAAGTAATTGAAAATATTCTATTCTCAATCCCATAATTAATTAAACATTCATGCACTTTTCCAATTAAATCTATCCCAAAATGTAGAGCTTCTATTTTACAAAATGAAAGTATTTTACTACACAATTTTCACCTTTCATCCACAAAATGTGCTGTTAAACAAATATACCCTTCAGAAGTCATAGAAGTTCAATAATCAGATGTCAAACAAATTCTACTATTACTTCTCTTCAACTTTTGTTTTAGGTTTTTTTTTTCTGAAGGAAGAATTTCATAACATTAGCAATAACAGTTTTTCTAGTAAAGAGCCTAACACTATGATTCAATGTCAAAAGTAGTTCTTTGATCCACTTGTACTCAACAAAAGAATAAGGAAGATTATGTTTAATTACGGCCATAATTATAATCCTCCAAATTCACATTTATTAATTTTTTGACACCTAATTTTTCCTTCTTTATCCAACAATATCACTCCAATATCATGAAATTTGTCCAGAACTTTGCAAGACCTAGCATGCCTGTAATGACTTGAGAATTTAGGAATTTTTAAATTATGCAATAAATAATGGGGGCTAACAATTAAAAGAGATTCATATAAAACTTAGAATATATTCCCAAAGTTAGAGTAAATAATAAGGTAATTAAGTATATTTTATTAATTTTTGGAAGAAGATTTGACAAGATTTATTAGTGGTTTAGTGGTGATTTTATTTGATAAATCCCCTTAGGATTTTGGGTTTGATTTTTTTTTTTTTGGGCCCTAGTGAAGCATTTTATTTATTTTAGCCAAACCTTTGGAAATTACAAAGATGACATTAATAAGAAGCCAAGCATGCATAAGCTTTCACATTTTCCTTCCCAATTTGCGATTGTTCCAGAACAAAGGGGAGAGAGTGAGAGCTCGGTGTGCCATCTTTCGTCCTCTCTTTCGATCATCTATTGCCGGCGATCGTGGGTGTGCTGTCCGCCATTATGAGGGGTTTTATAAGCTTTTGATTTCTTCCTCCTCCTCTGTTTTAGCGTTAGGTGCTTTCCTTCTCTCTATCTCTGTTCTGCGTTGTTACTGTCTTGGGTGAGTGGAAGGGCTGGATTCTTTCTTTCCATTTCTCCTTTACTTGTTTGAGAGTTCAAGCTTCATTTGTTCCCTCCCTTGTTTCAAATTTATGTGGCTGTGGTTGTTGAATGGATTATTGTAACAGAAATAGAAAAACTGATTCTCCCTCATTGTTCTTGCTTGTTGAGCAAATGCGAGAGTAGTTTGGATCTAGGCAAACTGAAATTTAAGTTCAAAGAGCATGAATTTTGATAAACGATTCCACTTTAGTTGCTTTCGGGTTAAAAAAATGGGTAGGGATTCATGCACGTATTAGTTAGTGACCGAATGAAGTCTTAGCTAAAGCTATATTGCATTTTCTTATTTAATTGTGCCAAGTGCTTTTGTTCTTATCATATTGCCTAGTATTTTATTTTATAATATAGTGCTGGTAGCTGTGTTTGTACTCCTCTCTTTTAAGATTGATTCTTGACAAGGAATTGAATTTGAGAAGCATAATAAATTTAAATGATGATGATGATTGAAAAAATTGTGGGAGAGATATTTAAAGAATAGGATGGTGGTTGTATGGTTTGATTTGAATACACACAAGGCATTTGATAAATTATTTGATAGAAGAATTTTAGTCTAGGATAACAAATAAATATGAGAAATGTAGTATTGTTAACTAAATTATTATAGAAGATAATTGTTCTCTATAATGAAAGGTGGGAAATAAAGGTAGAAAATTTTGGAAAAAGGAATTTGGTTAATAATTATATGTTCAAGTTTGTTGTTCTTATGTTAGATTTTTGGTACATATAAAGTGTTAGATGAAATGTTTGAGTGAAGAAAGTTTATGAAATTGGATATACTTGAGTAATAGTATTAATTAAATCATAGAAGTTGTTTATTTTCTATAAGTAAACTTGAAAACTTTGAATATTATTTAAATATGTATTTGTTGAAGATTTATCATTTAATTCAATATGACTTCTTATTTGTGAAATGTTGATTTTGAGATTGTCCTTGTCAATTCTCTAAATTTGTTTGAACTAAAGATTTTGGATTTATAAGGTGTATAAAAGAAACAACAATAATGTCCCTTTGGATATTAGGGAATTAAGGCACGAGCAATATTACAAAA